AGATCTTCCTCTGACCACAGTGTACATCTCCCATCCCTCCAGCAACTTCACACCCACACCCATACCCCACCTCCACACCAGAGAGACACGTACACAACACTGGGCCAAGACCTAAGCCAAAGGACCCAGCTGACCCTCACCTGATCACAGGGCACATTTATCCCATCCAAGAGGTAGGGGCCACACACCTACACCCACCCACCCAGGTGCCTAAGTAAAAGATAGGGACCACACACACACACACACACACACACATGCATGGCACATTTGCTCAAACACATCACCACTCACTCCATCACCCCAGCGTCACACCACACATGGAGGCCCCCGCCCCTGCAGATTTTCCTGGCCAGGACTGAGGCAGGGTCGTCTGCGGTGGTCAGTGCGTGCGTGCGTGTGTGTGTGTGTGTGTGTGTGTGTGTGTGTGTGTGTGTGTGAATCCCATCCTGCAGAGTGAACCCTCAGCTCTCACCTGTGGGGGAAGGCATTGGATTCTAGAGGCCACCTCCCTTCTCTTTACCCTCCCCCCAGTCCCAGCCACTGCGGCTGCATTGCAGACGCCGCCCAGCACCGCGTGAGCAGCTGGGTCAGGCTGGGGGCCTCACCCTGTGGCCCTGGTGGTGGTGGGGGGCTGCAGCTGGGTAGCACCATAGGGTGGGGACGTGTGGGGGCCTGGTGCTGACGTCACAGGAGGGGCGAGGATGACTGAGGGGAGTACTGGGGCCAGGAGTCGACCCCCACATTACTGCCTAGCCGCCCCATCCCTGACTCTCGCGGGCTCCTACGCCCGGGACCCCAGGCCGGGCTCCCCAATGACGTCATCGACTGCAGGGACTAGAGGACTTTTGCCCCGTTCCCCTCCCCGGGACCGCTCGCTGCCCAGTCCACTTCCCCGGCTCCAGCCCCGCAGCGCGGTACCTCCTCCCGCAGCGGCTCGCTGTCCGGGATGAGCTCGGGCACCTCCCCGCCGTCGCCCTCGGGCATGATGTCCTGGCTGCTTGGGCGGCCCCAGCCCGGGCCCGGGGCATGATAAGGGGAGGCGCGGAGGCTGCGGCGCGGCCCCGAAGGGCGTCCGCTCGGCTCGGCGGCCGCGGAGCACTGCGCCCAGTCCAAGCCCGAACACGGCAGCAGTGGCCGCGTTGGCGGCCGTGGTACCTGGCGCCCCGCCCTCCGCTGACCCCGCCCCCGCGGCACCAGTGGCGCCGCCGGCAGCGCCTGGTACCACGGGCACCGCCCCCGCCCCGGAGGAGCCCAGGCTGGGCGGCCGGACGCACGGGTTCTGCTCCGCCGAGCTCGCGCCTGCGTCCTTGGGAGAGTCCTTGTTCTATGGCGCCTGAGGTTCGCTGGCTGTAAGTTGGGAAAGGTGAATCTCGAGGGTGGGCAGACGGGTGCCCACTTTATTCAATGTCCGAAGCCTAGGTCTAGAAGGAAGCCCACCTAGACGCTACACTGAAAACTTCATTTCTTGTGGGAACCGGACAGTTACAGCTCAGGAAGAAATGTGAAGCCTCATTTGGCTGAACGGAGTGGAGTACTGGACTTTGATTAGGGTTGGCACTCTAGGTGCTAGGACACCAGGAGCCCTCGGCCACATGACCTTGGCCAGCATGCTCCACTCTTTTTAATAATTTTAAAAATATTGTATTTATTTGGTGCAGTGTCTCGTTACGCTGCTTGGACTCGAAGTGATCCTCCTGTCTCAGCCTCCCCCTGTACTGGGATCGCAGGGGTGCACCACCACGCCTGGTTTCAGGGCTGTCATCGGCAATTGAATTTGTGTACTTGCACTTGCCAGGCAGGCACTCAGACTGCCAAGCTATCTCCCCAGCCCCAACATGCTCCATTCTGAAGCTCAGTTGTTTCATCTGAGAAATTGGGATGGAAAGGTGTTGGGTTCAGTTCACCAGCATTCATCTGGTCGCATGGGAGCATGTGATCTGCTCTGGGATGATCCCATGAGACCCAGTGTTGTGTTGCTCCTTGACCTTCTGGGGCATCAGGCCCTTCATCCTTGAGTTGTGTCTGCTCTGAGATTCAACCCTAAACTAGATGATCAGTGGGTGGAACAGGAAGCGGCAATGCTGGGTGGATTATTTTGAGAAATAGTCTACCTCAATCATTCTTTGGAAGACTAATGTATTTAGTACAGGGTCTTACTACATAGATTGGACTCGTAGAGATCCTCCTGCTTTCAGCCTCCCAAGCACTGGGATTGTAGGCGTGCGCCACTACACCCAGTCTCAGTCACTATCTCAGCACACCTCGGGGGCAGGGCCTGCACAGCACGCTGGAGATTGAACCCCAGTTGCTGAGCATGCCTAAGTAGGTGTTTTAGTCCACTGAGCTATCTGGCCGGCGCTTGGGTGGATTATTTTGAGGGTGGGAGTGTATGTTTGTGCAAAGGGGAACTCTTTGAAAAGTATTTGGTTAAACATGCCTTATTCATTTAAAGATGTAGCTGAGACATAGGCAGAAGAAAGGACTGGAGCAAGATTTCATCTATTATTTATCTGGCACAAATATTTATTAGGTGACTTCTATATGTAACTACTGTGTTTCCCACTGGGAAGAGAAGGTAGGGGTAGAGAATGGCAGACCTTGTTCTCACAGAACCTATATTGAGGGAAAACTGGGTACATCCAAAGGGGCCCTCGATTCCATGCTCTGGCCTCCAGACTAGGCCAGTTCTCCACTGCCTTTGTTTTTCTTTTTTCTTTTTTTTTCTTCTCAGTCCATAGCTTCATTGAGAGCTCCAAAGTAGCTCCAACCCAGCAAGCCTATCCCTGTGTTGCAATAAGCCCCACTCTATCCACAACTGCAGAGGCTACCACTGCCACCCTTGTTTCTTCTATTCTGGAGTTCTTACTACCCTGCTTAAACAATGTGTCTGCAACCTTCAAACTCTGCTGTTTCTTGATTCCTTTCTAAGTCTCACTTGAGGTCATGGCCTCATCCCCTTGTTCCAGAGTTGCCTCCTGAGAGCAGCTGGTGGTTTCTCCATCACTGTCTTCAGGCTCTTGTTCTTTGGACTCATCACTTTCATCTGTGTCCACAGGTAGCAGGATAGTAGCCACAGGCCTGTTGGGATTTGCAAACTCTGGCCCTGAATCCACATCAAATGGGTCAATTTCCTCCTCCTCAGGAACCTCCTTGGCACAGGCCAAGAACTCTTGCTCTGCTTGTAGCACTTCCTCAGGTCCACTGCAGGCTGCATACTTGTCTAGGAGCTGGTGGTTCAGCTCCAAGAAGCCTTTGCCCCACTTAAATTTCCGCAGCAAAATGACAGCAAGATCTGAAAAGCCCACAATATAGAAGAAGGCAGCGGCAAAAGCTTCCACGCAGGAGAGTTTGCAGGGTCTGCCGTAGTTCACGGAGTTCGCAGCCACAAGGTAAGGCAGCAGTCGCAAGTGCTTCCCTCGCATCTTCCCAAAGGGCGTCTCACCCAGTCTGGCCCAAGAGCAGTCTATGACTGCGACTCCAGCCTGAGCCACCAGCTGTCGCGCAACGCGGCGCCCACCTCTTCGGCGAAAGTCTCCAGGGAGCGGCCCCGGGGACGGCGAACATGGCTGCCCTCGGCCCCTGACCCGCGCGCTGCCCGCCGGCGGTCCATAGCGGGGCGCACAGATCCCCAAGTCCCAGAACGCCCTCTGCCTTTGTTTTTCTAAGAGGCAACAGCTGAGCATCATAAATTTTAAAGGCTTTGGTCAGGTGCATACGAGGGGAAGGGCATCCGTGGTAAAAGGGATCTCTGGGCAGAGACACAGTGGTTGTTGGACCATGTGGGCTGAGTTTGGGGAGTGGAAAGGTCAACTGGACATTAGACAGCTAATTAGAGGCAGGTCTCAAAGGGCTTGAATGTGCTCCCTAGAAGGCAATGCCTGTGAGATGAAGGCCCTTGAACAGTCTTCAGCGAAGGTGGGAGTGGCTAGAAATCAAGGAGAAAAGAAAGTTGACCCTGGCGCCCCAGGAAGGCTTAGGAGCCTCACTTTGAGATTACAGGGCTGGTGATGACTCAGGAGTTTTGGATGCAATCTCAGGCAATCCTATACCTTGGCCCCCCAAATCAACTAGACCATCAGAGTTGGCAGGACAGGCCCGGTGCAGGATTCTGCCTATCTAATCCCACCCAAATTTCCAGAACTTCAAATCTAGGTTGCAGTTTTTCAATGTGCAAGTGTATGCGCTCTCTCGTTCACGCAGCGTGTGAATCAAGATCTCAAACTCTCCCATCGGAGGTCCCCACGGATCTGAGGGATGGCAGTAGAGGCGGGAGGGCATTTTCAGCACTAGATGGTGGACAGCACTCACACCCAAAGAAGTGGGAGGCAAGAAGAGGAGCCACCCTTTGGTCGGGTCTGGCCTGGCCTCCCACCAACACCTGAAGGTCTCCTGGAGCTCCGCTCCAAGAATGGGTGAACTGGGGCTGGTGAGATGGCTCAGTGGTCTAAAGCACCTACTTAGAACAAGCTAAGCAAATCAGAGGGACCACGGTTCAATCCCCCAGCGCCACATGCCAGCCAGCCCCGCCCCCTGGTGGGCTGAGCTGGCCACACACACACACACACACACACACACACACACACATAAATTAAAAAAAAAAGAATGGGTGAACTATGGGGGAAGAGCAAGAAAGAAAGCACAGAGAAGGAGGACTAAGGGCACGGAGGGGCAGGGATTGATCAGAAGCTGACTGTTCCATTCCGCCTGGTGTAGGTACTACTACTGAAACTCAATTCTGGATTCAAACCTGAAATTTTCTGGATGGTGTTTCTGGTGTAGTCGTGGCAGGCGTCAAGTGTCTCATTGCGCAGAGGCGGAAATAATTTACAACACTCTCCTACCTATTGGCTGCTACCGCCTCAAACCGTCAATCCCACTATTTGTTCCGCCTATACCTCTTCCGGAAGTTGACTACTGCCGAATCCACATCGGCGAGAGTTCGCCAGTAGCCAATTAGAAGAAGGGGTGGGCTGAACCGGCGCAGCCGAACAGCCAATGAAGAGTGGCGAAGGATGACGTTTTGGATATGGCGGCCGCAATCGGCCTGCGCGGGTACGTGTCAGGTGCCGGATAACCTCTGTCCAGGCCCAGGGAGAGGAGCAGTTGTCTTACTAGTATTCCTACTCGTGAGGCAGCGCAGCCGGCCCTCAGGGAGAACAACCGTCGCGACCATGGCTTATCACTCGGGCTATGGAGCCCACGGTGCGTGGGGGTGTTGGGCGGGCGGGGCGCGTCCTGGCAGACTGGAAGAAAATCGGCTGCGTGTCCCGCTTCACCCTGAGTGAGAGGGGCAGCCGTCACCACTGCCCAGGGCGGGGAGTGTCACTCCGGTTCCTGCCCCGCGAGACTGCAGTCTGACCTAGACTTGGCACTTTCTGCCCAATCCGAGATAGGGTGGTGATCGTGCAGTTGGGATCCCCCCATCTGACCCGGGCACGAATGGAGTTGCTTCCAGAACGTCCTTCCTCTGTTAGCATCGGGCAGGGTCCCCCACCGCTGTCACCTTTCCTACCCTTATCCACGCAGGGATGCCTTTCCCATCATCTTCAGAAACTTATACTCTCCAAAACTTTGTTCAGAGATCACTTCCCTTGAGAGTGACCCACTCCCCTTGAGAAATCCCAGATGAACAGCTTTACCTACACGTAGCAAAGGATTTCTCAGAAAGGACCTCCTGAAAGTTCTTTCTGAATGAGGTACTCCTAACCCAGCTTGGCCTTCCCTCACTGTTACTATTGTTTGGTGTTCCGAGGACCCATCCAGGGTTCAACAAGGGGATGGGACAGCTTACATTCTTGCTTGCTATTCTTGACACCTACTCTGGTACTTCCATATCCACAGGTTCCAAGCACAGGGCCCGAGCAGCTCCAGATCCCCCTCCTCTCTTCGATGACACGAGTGGTGGTTATTCCAGCCAGCCTGGGGGATACCCAGCCCCAGGAACTGATGTGGCCTTCAGTGTCAACCACTTGCTTGGCGACCCAATGGCCAATGCTGCTATGGCCTATGGCAGCTCCATTGCATCCCATGGAAAGGACATGGTGAACAAGGAGGTGTGGCCTGCCCCTAGGGAAAGGGTAGCAGGATTTCTGGTTAGGGCTGGGGCTTCACAGGATCCCACCTGATCCTCACAGCAGCCCTCAGGGAAGGAGCACACAGAGAAGCACCCTGAGGCTCTGGTGTGGCCCACCCACAGCCTCCTTTCTCCCCTCCCAGCTGCACCGCTTTGTGTCTGTGAACAAACTCAAGTACTTTTTCGCTGTGGACACAGCCTATGTGGCCAAGAAGCTAGGGCTCCTGGTCTTCCCCTACACACACCAGGTGAGCTATCTATTAGGTGAGCTAGTAGGCCTCCCTCATACCCCATGGTCTGTCCCCTAGACTTCAACCTTCTCTCCTTTTTTCTCCTGTATTTCTCCTGACCTGGCTGCTACCACCATTGCCAGAACTGGGAAGTACAATACAGTCGTGATGCGCCTCTGCCCCCACGGCAAGACCTCAACGCCCCTGACCTCTATATCCCCAGTGAGTCTCTGACCAGGGAAGGGGTCACAAGAGTACCTGTGCCTAGAGGTGGGAGAAGTGAGAAGGTCAAGTGTTGATCTGGCATCTGCTCCTGGCGCTTTTTGTGGTGGATGCTAAATGCCAGGTAGATTAGGTTGGATGACCAGTAAGGAACTTTCCCACCTGTTAATTTGAACTGTGACTTTCCTGGCTGGAGCCTTGGGTTTACATTTGGCTCTGCCACTTGCAGCTGTGGAACTTTAGGCTAGTTTTTGTACTCTTCAGTATAACCAGAATAATAGCCCCTATCTCCGAAGATTGTTGTAAAGATTCAGGGAGGTGAGGTGTGTTCAGCATTGGACCCAGCCTGTAGGAAGCACCCAGTAACTACTATTTCTGTGATTATTACCTGTTTTCTGAAGTCCACTCCAATATCTCTACTTCTAGGAACCTGAGCCCCTGAGCAAGGGATCTCTCCCTTTTAGGGCCCCACAACTGCCTGTCTGCCTGGCACTTGTCAGTCTCCCCACACTGTGCTGTGGCTGGCCAACTCTGCAGCTCACTCCTTACTGTCCTGCTGTCTGCACAGGACCAGGCCTTGGAGAAGTATTCCAGGGCCAGCTCCCAGAGGAACTGCCAGGCATTTCAGCCTGCCCTGGTGGCCCAAGAAGGACAAAAGTCCTTATCCTTCACCCCATGAGCCTCTTGCACTGTGTGAGGCTGGCATTGCATCCCCACCTCACATGTTAAAGCCAAGGCTCAATGGAACTTTAGTATCTCTGAGGCTCATAGCTTCTATGTGGCAGAGCTGATTTCCTGGCTCCAGACACTGCTCTCTGGTGGGCACATCATTCTAGTGCCTTCGGGGGAAGAGGACTAGGGAGTTTTAAGTTGCTGCTGAAGCCTGGTTTTCACTGGCTCCAAGTTCTTAGAACTTCTCAAAGTTGGCTTGGAGTTCACTGTGTGATCAGGGCAGCCAGAATCATGCCAAAGAGCAGACTTAGAAATGCTGGCTGAGGTCATCCCCATGGGCTTAGACTCTTGGGCCAGTGGCCACTAAATCTGCATTTTGTTCCTGTAGTCTTGCCAGCAATCAGGGTGCTCCTTGTCTAGGATGAGCAATGGCTTTGGCCCTTGAAGCAGTTTTTGAGACACAGCAGGAAACTGACAAGCTTTCCCAAACCGGGAGGGGAGGATGTAGCTGGTAGTTCTGGGAGAAGGGTCAGGTGGCATTTCTTCAGGGAGGGCATTGGTTAAGGAAAGATACTCTAGACAGGGTACTGGGAAGCTGAATGTAAAGGTTGGGCCATAGAGGGAGGGAAGTATGGGGGCAGTTTGGTACCAAGGTTATGAACATGTAATGAGGGGCTCTAGACGAGGAAGCTGAGCTAATGGCTTCCCTCTGACTCTTGGCAGCAATGGCCTTCATCACCTATGTGCTGCTCGCTGGGATGGCACTGGGCATTCAGAAAAGGTTGGTCCGAGCTCCCTCCCATCTCCCATCTCCCAGGGAGGAACCTGTGTCATGTCCCAGCCTCTCACCCTCACCCCTGCCACAGTATGGTGGTTCTTACCTGTCCCTTCCCATGGCCACAGGTTCTCTCCAGAGGTGCTGGGCCTGTGTGCAAGCACAGCACTGGTGTGGATGGTGATAGAGGTGCTGGCTCTGCTCCTGGGCCTCTACCTAGCTACGCTGCGCAGTGAGCTAAGCACTTTCCACCTGCTGGCCTACAGTGGCTACAAATATGTGGGGTGAGCACAAATAATGTGGGGCAAGCTAGGAGGTAAAGGGCTTGGACTAGGGGTATGGGGTCGTGGGTCTGGGTCCTGCATAGCCTTGAAGTGTGACATCTGCTCCGCTCTCAGCCTCCACCTCTGCTCTGTTAGAGACCACTGTTTCCAGCCATCTCCCTGGAACTGAGTGAATTCAGGAGGTGGGGGTTTAGGAAAGCATAGAGGAGAGAAGAGGTCTCAGATCTAGGTCCTGGGCCTGAGCTCTGAGCCTTGAGGACCTATTTTAAATCTGAGCCCCTGTGTGGACAGCTTCAGAAGAGAGGGCCATGGTTGGGTGGAATCTTGCTGGGCTCTGGACCTCTGGTGGGACCAGGGTTATCAGTCTCCTCCACTCCCCAGGATGATCCTCAGCGTGCTCACAGGCCTGCTGTTTGGCAGTGATGGCTACTATGTGGCCCTGGGCTGGACTTCTTCTGCACTTATGTACTTCATTGTAAGTCCTGGGCTGTCCCTTTGCCTTCTCACCTGGGCCACAGCTGGGGATAACCCTCCCCTCCTGGCCCAGCCTTAGCATTTCTTTCTTCCAGGTGCGTTCTTTGCGGACAGCAGCCCTGAGCCCTGACAGCATGGGTGGTCCTGGCTCCCAGCAGCGTGTCCAGCTCTACCTGACTCTGGGAGCTGCAGCCTTTCAGCCACTCATCATATACTGGCTTACCTTCCACCTGGTCCGGTGATACCCTGGCCCCAGTGGCACTGGTTTTTCCTTACATTGAAGATTTGATTTCCTTTACTTGGTTTGACCCTTGTTCCTGGGGCCTGGTGGGGGAGCTTCAGACACCTCTGGGTCTCTGCATTGCACAGAGGACTAGGCTTGGGGTTGTCTAGGAGGTGGGTGAGCCAGGGAGGGTTTCCTAGAGGTTTTGACTTTGAAAGGCAAATGGAAAGGCTTTAGTAGACACAACCAGGAAAGTGAGGATGACAGGATAGCTGCTAAGGAGACATAGAAGGCCTCAGATCCATCTGAGGGGGCTCCCAGAGGGGCCTGTGGCTCATGGGGCAAGACCAGCTGTACTGGGGACCTATCTGTCCTTCATCTCATCCCCATCACTTCACATCTTTCAGGAGCAGAACAGGGGCCCATGTGTTTGCAGTAGTTTATTCATATTTTGTCACAAATGGCCAGGGAAGGGGTGCCTCCAGGCAACATAGAAAATAGGTCTAAGAGACAGGGTAGGCTGGGATTGGGGCAAGTGGAGATGGGGCTGGAGAGAGTCCAGGGAGGGGAGAGGGCAGACTAGGGGTGGGGCTACCCCCTGCTGAGCCTGCTCATTCCCGGTGTGGGTGCCCCCCACCTGCAGGGGGAGCCTCAGGGTGAGGGTTGAGGGGGGGTGGCCCAGAATTTCCAGGATCAAGCTCTGCCTGGTGGCAGGGTCCAAGTCTTCCCCCCTCCAAAGTGGACAAGCCAAAGTCCCACCCCTTCCAGGATTAACTGCCATGCCTAATTGCACGCTGGCAGAGGAGCCCCTGCCCCTAATTAGAGCCCTGCCTGGCCCTAGTCCAAGGGGGCGGGCTCTGAAGGCGGGGGGGGGGGTCCCCGCAGCAGCAGTTTGGGGGATGGAGAGGCTGGGGGCACCAGTGCCCCCTCCCTCCCCAGGGCTGAGGCCTCTTCGGCCGAGGGGCAGGGCTGGGGGTGCACAGGCGTCCGGTCCGATCTGGGCTCGCTCCCTGGCCGGCTTCCCCCTTAGAAACTCACCAACGTATAAACCATACTGTGGGAAGATGAGGTAGTGAGCCTGAGTCCTCAGCAAGTCTGGCCACCCACCTGGTGACACCCTGGGTTGCCCTCAGTCCTCAGGGGCAAAAGGCAAGAATTTGGGATTGCCTGGGACATCCCTTCCCTGAGTTCTTGGACAGGGCCTCACCTGTACAGGTAATAGAAGAAGGAGAGCAGGTAGAAGGCTAGTTTGCACCAGGACTCCTTCTGGCAGTAATTGAGGATGTCAGCATTCATGATGGAGACCGCATCATACATGACCTCAGAGCCATCTGCAGGACGGTGGAAGTACCTGGGGCGGGGAGAAGCCTCAGTGCCCATGAGCCGTGCCCCAGCTTAGCCTCCTCGTGGTGGTGGCTGCCCTTACCTCCAGAGGTGGTAGAAGAGGAGGGGGATGTTGAGGCCCAGAGTCACCCACTCTGCTGCACACAGAAACATCAGACAGAAGAGGCCGTGGATGGAGTATTCTGGAACCACCAGCTGGGGGAGTGACAGTAAGAGGTGAGTGGCCTTGTAACAGACCCCAGCTTCAAGCACACAGAGAGAAGTTGAGGACAGGGAGGTGACAACCCGTATGACCACACAACCAAAATGGCATCTGGCCTACCCATTCCCAGGAGGCTGCATGGATCAAAGAGGCCCAGAGAAGGTCTTGTACTGGGCTCCCCAACATGGAGGAAGCACTTGTTAGGAGCCTCCTGCACCCAGCCCTGACACTGACCTTTCTCAGCAGGCAGCAGATACGTTCAATGTTTTTTAAACGCTCGCGCTGTAGGGGAAGGAAAAAGCTGAGATGGAGGAGGCAGAGAAGTCGGCCCTGAGGCACTTCCCCACACGTGGCTGCCAGGGGGCGCTAGAGCCCCCTGCATTATCGGTGTTGAGCCGTCCCCATGGTAACTGTCACCATAGTGGGGACTGCACCCGCGTCTCCACAGCAACGGCCTAGAGCCTGGCAACTGCTGCCCCGCCAGGAAGAACCCGAGCCCAGAACTCGTGCCAGGTGTTTTCCAGGGGTGGGGACAAAGAAGGGGCAAAGGCCGCTGGTCCTCCACACCCCACCCTCACCCCTACACTTCTCCATTCCTACCCGCCACCGAAGACAAATGGAAGACAGACGGACACACCTCAGCACAGCACATGTATCACTTACAGCCCGCGCTGGGTTCCCCTGGTCGATGGGGTTCTTGAAGTCAGTCCGCAGCTCATCAAAGGCTATGATCTGAGGGAGGGGCGTGTGCCCATCAGGGTGGGGGCAACAGCTAAGGCAGGATTCCCTCCTTTCATGGGATAGGAATTTATACATGGGGACCGGGTCAGATGGAGCTTTTGGCAAGGTGTAGAACTGGGGTCCAGGGAAGGACAAGACCTGGTTCAAGGTCACATGACCACACAGAAAGGAATTCTAGTGTCTTCCCCCCACCCCCAGTGTCTTAATGTTTGTTTTGGCCCATTTCCACTACACTTCCCAAACATCCTAAAACTAAAACGTGGCCCCTTTTCTGCTGGGTCCTGTGCTAAGCACCAGAGCCTGAGATCTGGGCAGCAGCTCTTGCCAGGGAGGAGCCCCAGGTTTGGGGGAGGACTCAGAACTACATTGGAGGTGATCAGGGATGTGGGGTATCAGCAGGATCCTGTGAGGGGGAGCATAGGGGTTCAGGCTGACTCTTAAGTAGGCGTTTGGTGAACAAATGGAAGAAAAGCAGTTTAAGCAGCAGGAATAGCAGATACAAAAGCATAGAGGATTGAAAGAACATTCAGGAAGCAGCTGCAGATTCATTGGCCTGGGGTAAAAGTGAGTGTGGGAAGGAGGGGATGTTACAAAATGAGGCTGGAGAGGTCAGCACACACAGCCAGACGTAGGTGGCCAGACTAAGAGTTGAGGCTTCAATACAAGAGTAATGGGAGCTACTGAGGGCTACAAAGAAACAGATGGGGCAGTCAGACTGGTGCCTTAGGATTGGTGGGGGTACAAGCTGGCTCAGTCATAGCCAAGACACTCAACTGGATTTATGTTTATTCAATGAACACTTGTAATAATCTAATGACTTAAGTGCTAGTATTTTCATTTGTTTTGCAGAGGAAGCTGAGACAACATTTTGTCCAAGCCACACAGTGATAAGTCAGGATTTTAATACAGAGTTGAAATACTAACCATTTTGTTATACTCAGGCTAGAGTGAGGGGGCTTGTTGGAGTGTCCAGGAAGGGATAGTGGTTGTCTGAGTGGACAGAGTGACCGTAGAGATGGAGAGGTGTGGATGAATTGTAGAGCTCTCTAGGAGCCAAATCCGAAGAGCTTGTGCATTGGTGAAGTAAGGTAGAGGGGTCTAAGTATTTTTCTGTTGGACTGTATCCCAAGACTACCTGGTCAGGTGGCAGTATCCTCAGAAGGGGGCACTTCTGCAGGAGCAGATGTTAAAGGAGAGGAACTGACCTGGGGAAGGTGGGCCGCCTGGGGAAACTGATAGGGCCCCCTCCACTCCCCTCCAGCCCAAGGAGCAGCAGCAGGCCCACCACCCCCAAAATCCCAGATTCCAGAAGGCTCAGAGAGAAAGAACATGGGCTTCCTGGAGGGAGCTGGAGCCATCTGGGTCCCCTCCCCCATCTTCTCATTGACTCTGGGCAAGCGCCCCATTTGACAGGCACAGCAACAGGGCCCAGGAGGGAACGGAAGGGTGCCGTCTGTCTGCCCTTGAGTTGGCACCACCAGCAGGCAGCGGGTGTTGCACCTCCCACCCCCCAGGCTGCCTGGTGCTGACTCAGTCCCCTGGAACAAACCAGTCCCCCATGATGACAGCTGACACATATCGCTCACTACAAGGGTTGCCTAGCGACCCATGGGGCCTGGTCTCAGCTTGGGGTGGGATGTGGGGTCTTGCCCTAGAAGATTCTAGTTCATATCAGCTTTAGACTAAAGACCACACTTCCTCTCACCTGACCTCTGAGTAGACCTCACTCTGGACATTGATGTCCATAAGCCCACTCTACTGATGAGAAAACAGGCTCAGCATGAATGACTTGCTAAGATCACCCAGCTAAATGACTGAGAGAACACAGTGCCTCACATATAATAGGTGCTCTGTGCATATCAGGTGAATGAAATAAAGGTATTACTTCAAAAGCTGGGTCCTGCCTCTCAGGCTGGGCAATCCACAAGGACAAAGTCTTGTTCTTATGCATCCTGGAGTCCCACAAACCAATGGAGATTGTGCATCTCTGAGAATCCCAAGACTACCTGGTGGGAGGTGCATGAAAGGGGGCTTCTTGTATTCCATGATAGCACTACATTTCCCAGCCCATGATCCCCCAATTGGTTGTGGTCATTAGGATCCAAGCCTTCTGCTACTACCCACAGCACTGTCCAGGGCCCTGGGTGTGAACAGAAAACAGAGAAATCAAGATGGACCTAGGGGAATGAAATGAGGGAAAGAGCAAGGAGGAGAAAAAAAAAAAAAAAAAAGCAATGGAGACAGAAACACAAAGGCAAGCCACAGGGTGGACATGGGGTTGTGCTGTATGGTGAGCCTGTGGGGGCTCACTCCTCATAGAGTAGCGGTAAGCACAGTCAATAAAATTCCTATTTAAAAAAGGCAGTGGAAATGGCAAACAGGGATGGGGGAGAGTGTAGGGGGAAGCAGCAGGTCCCACAAAAAGAGAGGAAGTGGGGAGAGCAGGAAGAGGCAGGTAGAGCAAATGAAGGAAGGAAGAGGTATGGGAGAGAGGCTGAAGAGGGGTAAGAGAACTCAAAGGGAACGAAGATCAAGGGGGATGGAATGGGAGGGTTTGAGCAAAAGGCTGCAGTGAACAGGCCTGGAGGGGACCTAGGTAGGACACACCTTAGGGTGCAGTGGAGGAGGGAGGGCTCTAAAGGAGGACCACAGCCCCCAACAGTGAGCTGGAAGTTGACTGATAGTTGTATAGTGAAGGGAAGGAAAGGAGGACAGGTAGAGGAGGCCCTTGAAGAGAAGGATCCTTTCCAGAAGTAAGTCATCAGGATGAGATAGTAACATTCTAGAGACCCAGGTGTGAGGCCAGATCAGGGTGAGAGGGAGAGCAAGGGGGAATGCAGGAGGTGGAAATGTGAGAACAGGGATATTAGGGAGGATGGAAAGTGGAGAGGAATGGAGGGGTCCCCAAAGTAAGCTGCAGTGGGGGCTAGGTTTCTGGTGCTTACTGCCCATGGCTGCTTGACCAGGGAGGGGGCTGGGAAGGGAAAGGGTTAATGGATTCAGATATGCGGGTCCTGTAAACAGATGCAGTTGCCATAGTAACCGGCTCCATTGCTGGAAAAACGGGGGGGGGGTAGTGACTGACAGACAAACTGCCAGACGGACAAAAAAGGGATGGATGGATTGAGGGGGTAGGAGGGCAGCTATTCCTGATTTTCCCCTCCTCCCCACGAATGGATGGGGGTAGAGGGGGGGTCAGGGACTGAGTGACATGCCCATAGACAGGCGGAGGCGTTAGAGAAAGGGGGGCCCCCTGCGGTAAGGAAGCCGACAATGAGGGGCTGTTAAAGGGGGTGAAGATAAACCGATGGATGGGGGATAGTGGAGAGGAGACTCCAAGTTTCCCCAAGGCTCTGAGACCTCAGCCAGGGGCCCTCCCACTCCGTGCGCCCCCTGCCCCCCACCCCACCCCCAGCCCTAGCCCCAGCCCAGCCTTACGTGCCAGATGACAAAGAAGATGAGGGAGGCGCACAGCACCAGGGTGAGCATGTAGCAGAACGCCGCGAAGGTGAACGCCATGGCCCCGGCACCGGGTGGCGGCCCGGGGGGCGCCAGCGC